AAGCAGACAAATAGATTTTCCACCCCCTTTTGCTGTAGAAATAGACAGGTGGTTTCTGTACCTTTCTTTCAGACACATATACATAACGGAAGATATCAAGAAACCAAGACTTGGGCATCTCATACCTTCTCTGGTGTGAGTCTTCCAGATATCTGGTAGAAAGATGATTGGAAATTTAAGTAGGCTGGCACCAATTCTGCAAGATGAACATGTAGGCCACATAACTGTGGGCATGAAAAGAGTTAAAGAGTAAGACCTCAGTAGTCAGCTTTGGCAGGGAGGGAGGCTGTTAAATGGTTTACTCAGGAAGAAGCATGGCTTCCCAACTTCACAATGGGGGCACTTTTTTCAAGTTGCACTAGGTCTTAAGAGGACAAAAGCTAGATGAGATAAAAACGCCTCTTCCCACTGTAGCCTGTTTTCACAGAGTTGATTCTAACTCATAGTGTTTCAGAGTAGAACTGTACTCATAGGGTTTTCATGACTGACCTTTCCAAGGTGTCTTTCAGTAGATTTCAACCTCTAGCCTTGTGCTTAGTAGCCCAGCATGGCAGAAACACAGAGACAAGACATACAGAGCAAAGCAGCAGTGCCCTACAATGGGAAATGTTTGTCTGATGTCCTAAATAACACATGGGCATTAGAGGAAAGTGGGCACAGCTGAACACAATGATGATGAAGACACACGGTAAACAAAGAGCAATGTCGCGAGAGTGTAGTATTAAAGAATTGTACTGTACTAGCATATCTGCAGGACTCTTTGCTGCTTGCTGGCACATGAATTGAATATAAAATAAACCTGAACTCTTTCCAGGCCATGGGGAAACTCAAAACCCACCCAAGTTTTAATCACGTTCCGAAGGGAGCTCTATCCCATGACTCACATCATAATGTGGGACACCACACTGATTCAGACATTAAAGTCTGCTCTTCTATGTTTCCCCCCAACATTCTATGTTTCCCCTGCAACACACACACACACCATACAGGCATTAACACAAAACATTTCTGGGTGGATAAAGCTCTACTGGCTTTTTTGTACATCACAAGGAGTGGTGTAGTGTCATATTGTGTACTGCACAGCAACAAATTTGCAATCTGATTATAAAATATCTTGTGTTCAACTCACCTCTAGACAGGAGTCTTCCTTCCAGCCACAAGCTCTCACCAGCCTTTCACCAGCTTTCTCTCCTCTTTTCTTGTCTTTACTCCTTTCTCTCCTTTTCCTCACATTCTCTGGAGCAGAGCCCAGCTCCCCTTATCTGCTCATGGCTGACCTTTACTGATGGCTGATGCCTGCCTTCAAACTCTTACCTTTTATTCCTTAGCTATCTTCTTAAACAAGCGAAGAACACTACTAGTAAGAGCCTTCTAGAATGTACATTTCTAACAAGCTCTCAGATGATGTTGAGGCTGCAAGTCTTGAGACCACATTTTGAGAACCATTGTTGAAAGCCAGTGCTGCTGGCCTTACTTGTAGATGGACACCCACAAAAGTCAGTACAGACCTGGTGGTCTTACTGTCTTTTCCCCAAATATCTACTCCCTAATATCTGGGGCATGCGAGAAATCCAAATTCACTATCAATTCATTCAATGTATTTGCTTATCTTCATTGGTAATTAACTTCAGAATGACTTTACTTCTTACTTAGCTAGCCATCAGCGGAAGTAGTCAATTTACCCAGTACACTCAGATTAATGCTTTTTCATCCCAGGGAAAATGGTGTTTGTGCTCAGTTGCTGTTAAAAACCTGCTGGCCTTGGCCCTGACTCTAGTTTTCCTAAGCTGATGTGAGGGTGAGATGAGGTGGGGATCTGAGACCAGAAACCTAGTGAACCAGCACAGCAAATGTCCACCAAGAAGGGTGCTGGGATATTGATTTTGAAAAGCAAGTAGAAAGTGATATTAATAATTCCAACAATGACCTGAACAATTAAACCACACTCTTAAAGGAAAGCCCCTCTCCTATTACCTCTTACACCAAAACAAACCTAGAAATAGAACACAGTTCACATCTGAGGTTTACTCCCTCCACCTCATCTCCAGAGATAACATCTGCTAAAGCGAAGTATTGCCCTGTTTTTGCAAGTGGACAATTCACTGAAATTCTAATCCCAAAATGGAATAACTACTGGTGACTAGAATGGGAAAGTTGGAAGTAAAATAAAAGGATCCATGGTTGGAAAATATGGCCTTGGTGACAGAAACATGCTAGAGACTGCCTGAAAGAATTTTGTAAGACCAATGGCTTATTCATTGCAAATGCCTTTTGTTGACAGCATAAAAGGTGACTATACACCAGATGGAATGCAGAGGAATTGAACTGACTATATCTCTAGGAAGAAAAGATGGAGAAGCTCCATATCATCAACCAAACAAGGCCAGGGGCCAGCTGAAAAACAGACAATCAATTGCTCATATGCAAGTTCAGACTGATGTTAAGGAAGACTATAGCAAGTCTACAGGAGTCAAAATATACATTGGATGTCTCCCACCTGAAATGAGAGACCATCTCAAAAAACAGATTTAATGAACCCAAGACAGGAAGAGTTGTGGGATGACATCAAGAACATTATAATGAAGAAAGCAAAAGATCATTAAAAAGACCAGAAAGAAAGAAAAGGCCAAAATGCATGTCACAAGAGACTCTGAAACTTGCTCTTGAGTGTAGGTAATTCAAAGAAACTGGAAGAAATGAGGAAGTAAAAGAGCTGAATGGAAAATTTTCAAAGGCTGTTTGAGAAGACAAAGTCAAATATTATAATAAAATGTGCAAAGATCTAGAACTAGAAAACCAAAAGGGAAGAACACACTCAGCATTTCTCAAGTAGAAAGAACTGAAGAAAAAAATTCAAGCCTCAACTTATGATATTAAAGGAATTAATGTGCAAAATATTGAATGGTACAGGAAGCATCAGAAGAATATGGAAAGAATAGACAGAGTCACTGTACCAAAAAGAACTGATCAATATTCATTCATTCTAAGAGATAGCATATGATCAATAACCAATAGTATTGAAGGAAGAAGTCCAAGCTGCACTGGAGGCACTGATGAAAAACAAGGCTCCAAGAATTGACAGAATACAAATTCAAAACATGTAACAAATTGATGCAGCACTAGAGGCACTCGCTTGTCTATGCCAAGAAATGTCGAACCTGGCAAACAGATTGAAAGAGATTCATATTTGTGACCATTCCAAAAAAAAAAAAAAAAATGACCCAATAGAATGTGAAAATCATTTAAAAATACCATTAATCTCACATGTAAGTTAAATTCTGTTGAAGATAATTCAAAGACTGTTGCAGTACTACATTAACAAGGAACTGTCAGAAATTCAAGCAGAACTCAGAAGAGGATGTGAAATGGGGGGTGTAATTGCTGATATCAGATGGATCTTGACTCTAAGTAGAGAATACAAGAGGGATGTTTACTTGTGCTTTATTGACAATGCAAAGGCTTTTGACTATGTGGATCATGACAAGCTATAGATAACATTGAGAAGAACTGATATTCCAGAACACTTAGTTGTACTCATGAGGAGCCTGTACATAGAGTAAGAGGCAGTCATTTGAACAGAACAAGCGGGAATTGAATGGTTTAAAATCTGGAAAAGTGTACACCAGGGTTGTATTCTTTCACCATACTTATTCAATCTGTATGCTGAGCAAATAACCTGAAAAGTTTGATTTTATGAAGAATAATATGGCATAAGGATTGGAAGAAGACTCATTAACAACCTGTGATATGCAGATGACATTGCTTCTTGGAAATGAAGAGGACTTGAAACACTTACTGATGAAAATCAAAAGACTACTGTCTTCATTATGAATTGCATCTTAATGTAAAGAAAACAAAAATCCTTACAACTGTACCAATAAATAGCATCATGATAAATGAAGCAAAGATTGACCTTGTCACAAAGACTTCATTCTGCTTGGACTCACAAGCAATACTCATGGAAGCTGCAGTCAAGAAATTAAGCGATGTATTGCATTAGGTAAATCTGTTGCAAAAGACCTCTTTAAAGTGTTAAAGGACAACAATGTCACTTTGAGGACTAAGACGTGCCTGACTCAAGCCATGGTATTTTCAGCCACTTCATATGCATGTGAAAGTCAGACAGTGAATAAGGGAGACCGTAGAAGAATCAATACATTTGAAATACGGCATTGGAGAAGAATATTAAAAGTACCATGGACTTCTAGAAGAACAAACAAATCCATCTTAAAAGTGCAGCCAGAATATTCCTTAAAAGCCAGGATGGTGAGACTTTGTCTCTGGAGCTTTGGGTGTGTTGCCATGATGGACCAATCCCTAGAGGAGGACATCATGCTTGTCAAAGAGGAGGGTCAATGAAAAATAGGAAGACCCCCACTCAGATGGATTGACATAGCAACAGCAACAAAGGGCTTAAATATAATGATTGTGAGGATGGCACAAAGCCAGGCAATAGTTCTTTCTATTGTGCATAAGGTCAAATGGATGGCACCTAACAACAACAACTAAGTGGAGAAAAGAAAAACACCAGTAGAACCTAAACTTGATCAAGATCCTAAATGCCATTTTCAGCTTGAACAAAATTCCAAGCACTGCCTGGCTTCCCCAGTTAGACTAAATGCAGGCCCACAGCCGGAGCCCATAGAGACATGGAGGTTGGCAATGGAAAACATACATTGGTCTGTGGTTTGTTAACTTTACCTTCCTTAGATTTACTGCTCCACCTGGGGTACACTAAGGAGGGTTGCTTTGGGGTTCGAGTTCATGACTTACTTGCAGCTTTCATGGCAAAGTAGGAAGTTAGCCATCTCCACAGCATGGCTAAGACCTGGCTGGCCCTGATGGCTTAACACCAAGGCCCTCTGGGGACCAGCTATGCTTCTCACTGCGTCTCCCCAGAGCATGAAATTTGAGAAGTGAAACTAAACATGTCACCCTGCTAAGAGAGGAAGGAAGAACAAGCCCATTTTATTGGACCTGTTATTTTTCTCTGGGTCACCATGCAGGGTCTCATGGCCACCCTCCTCGTCTGGGCTCTGCTTCACCCCGGTGGTGGCAATGTCTGGCCCACCCACACAGTCTGCAGGAATGACGGCTTGGAAATACTCTACCAGAGCTGTGGTAAGGCCTTTAAAACATCCATTTGGGTTTATGGGGAAATTATGGCCCCCAGATGTGGCCTGCTGGAGTGCTTAGTTCATGTGGGTCGGGGGAGAGGAAGCTAGCAGACAAATGCTTTTTACCTGCAGCAGGGCACCTTTGGGAGGGCAAGGAGTGGAGGGTGGGAGAGATCCTGACAAGAGAGACAAAGAAATGAGAAAAATAAATGAACAGTCTAAATACAGCAATTTACTAACACCACAGAGCCCAGGATGGGGTAAGTGATGGGTAAGAATACTAAGTTACGGTACTCCCCCCGGCCCCCTACAGTTCAAAGTAAGGAGAAGATGTCCCCAATGGGTCAACAATCCAAAGTGTACACCTGGGCTCCTTTCCTAGTTTAATTCATTTGTAGGTTGCATGGAAGGATCATTTGTGCCCACAGAGATCTTTGTCCCTTTCCTCTTGTGACACTTGCAGAGCTGTAACTGCAGGGGTCGTTTGCTACCTGCTGTCAAGTTAGTCTCACCTCATGGCAACCCGACCCCACAGAGCAAAGTGCTGTGCAGGCCAGACTGTTGTGACCCATTGGTTGATTTCAGAAGTAGATCAGCAGGCCTTTTGTCCGGCCCCATCTTAGTCTGGAGACTTTGCTGACGCCTGTTCAACGTCAAAGCCTCCACAGAGGGTAGTGAGCATGCAGCACATTAGCTGGGAATTGAACCTGTGTCTCCTGCAGTAGTATCACTCATTCATTCAGCAGAAACTTATTGTACAGCTATCAGCGCCAAATATGAGCCCTGCTTGCACAGTCATTAAGCATTCAGCTAGTTAAACTGGTCTAAGAGTAGTGTCTGACCGCTGACTTCACAAGGAGGAGCAAGATTAGCAGCCCAAGGCTGATTCCTATGAGGCAGGGGTCAGGCATTTTCTGACATTAGCCAGCCTCCAACATTTTCTGACATTAGCCAGTAAGTTCCCTATTATGGCAATTTTACTTGTCTGCTAGTTCAGCAATACATTGCAGTGGCCACACAGTACTCAAACAATATGAACTCATAATTAGGGGATTTATTAGAGACATAATAGGCTACAATTCAGGATCAGAAATGGCCCAGGAGACCGTTCTCTGGTCAGGTTAGCTTCTTCTCAGCCATGCCCACAAGTGTGCTTTTTTCACTGGCCCTGTGACCCTTGCGCTCTGCCCTACTTTGTTCATGTGTTACAAAGCTCTTTAACTCAGCCACTAAGTGCTCAGAGAAGTCTCCCTCCACTAAGAAGCCTTCTGCCCAAAGGTATTCAGTTTTCTCGCTCTAAGGGCAGGGAAGCCCACTGCACCATCCACCACCTGTGCTGCCATTTCTCAGCCACAGCAGTCTCCAAGGTGCAGCTCGTTCTCTTTCTGTCTCCTAGGTGTAGAAGGTGCCCAGTGCAGGGCTTCTAATGAAGTACCTCTTTTCTGCCTCTGAAATGACTCACTTTAAGCCAACAGAATGGCAAAACTGATCAATCTCCTCATTGGGGTTTTATACACCTTATTTGTTTGGCCCCATGCCAACAAGAGTACCATGTATCTTATTTACATGATTAGCAAACTGTCCAATTCCCTTAGTGAACCACAGTACCTCATTTGCATAGAGTCATTTGGTGGGAATTACAAAGACTATGGTTAGAAGGGTCATACTAAGTAATTCTATTACACTGCAATAGTTCAAACCCACCAACTACTCTGAAGTGGTCTGCTTTCTTAACAATTACAGTATGGGCTTGGGAAGTCTGTGGGGCAATCCTATGATCACAATGAATTGGAATTGGCCCAACAGCAACAGGTGTTTTAAACCAGTGCTGGGTTTTCACTAACACTAAAGTAACAAAAAAGAATGTGCCATGGTTGTTACCCCAATGGAGCAAAAAGGTAGGCAACAGATGAATTGTTGCCCACAGAACAAAATGCAGTTAACTAGTGGTTCTGTGGTGTGGCATTGTGGGAAAAAGCACTGGGCCACAAGGTCGGCGCTTCAAAATCACCAGTTGCTCACTGGAAACCCTATAAACATGGTCGCTATGAGTCAGAGCCTCACCACAAACAACAGTAGTACCATGGGCCATCTGAGTGGGGAGAAGCTAAGACAGTCTCAAGAGCAGGGGCAGCACCACACCTTGAAGGAATAGTAGATGTTCTGGCTAGTGGAGAGGCCGAAGGCTACAAAATCTGGCATTTGGGAGGGAGACAGGGAATGTCATGTTGATTGAATGCATGGAAAAAGATTGTAGGAAGGAGATACCCAGATTGGCCCCTTGCTAAGCTATGGAGTAACTGAGGATGTCCAACTTGAGTACATAGCTGATCCCCACAACTCCTGTCCAGGGAGCCTGCCACAGAGCAAGGTCGTATATCTGACTTTCCGTGACTCTTTCAAAAACAAGAACAGTTTTGAAATCCACATAAAAAGACAAAGACTAAGAGAAAATAAACAGCTAGTTTCTGGAGGTGCAGACTGTCACCCAGGCTCTTCCTTGGGGATAGGGTCCTAGACCATGGCAGTCCATTCATTCCAGGTGTGAGACAAAAAAGTTAGACAGGCAATGAACAGGTCAGGGCATGTTTGTCCAATTCATCCTCACAGAACTGTTGCCATGGCTGTCTGTCTCCAGACTCACTCTCCAGCCAGTGGACCAGACTGACAAAGCCTTTCAAGCTAGAGCCAGAGAAGGGAAAAGGGGAAATGACTCAGGGAGAGAGTAAGGCTGTACCATCCATCCGTCCTGGAATTGCCCTGCCCTCTAAAGTTGGAGCTGCTCTGTGGAGTCAGTAACTCAGGGGCCCAGCCCTGTTCCAAGCACTCAGAATAAATGAAGTAGATGCAGGCCCAGTCCAGAGTAGTGGAAATCTCAGGTGATTAAACAACCTGAGGCCAATGTATTGTGACATTTTGGTGGGGAGAGACAGAAGTGGGGTCTAATCCATAAGAAGTCTTTAAGCTTGAGTTTAGAATTGATAGATAAAAATAGTCGTTATACCATCTCATATTTATGAAGGGTTTGTATGTGCCAGAGATCATATTAAGCACATATTGCATAGCATCCTTGTTTTTCAAATATATAAACTGAGGCTTGAAGACTTTTGTAAAATCAGGAAGCTACTGGTGGCAAGATGACAATCCCAGCAGCATGGAGTAGGTGTGAAATATTTGTGAAGTTAAGATGATCCCAGAGGGGTAGGATAATAGAAGAACAAAGTGGATGGGAGAATAATTAGGCAGGTTTGCATGGGCTAAATGGGACAGAGGTAATAATGATGTATGCACAACGTTGGAATAATAGAGCTCTGGGATACAGGGATTGAGACATGTTTGGAATGGGAAAAAGGGAGTATATAATGTTAAGATGCTTGGCTGTCTCTTGAATCTTGGTTTCCTTTGCATACCATTATAAAATAGACACTTGAGGGGGAGAGAAAGGAATAGCCAGAAATAACACCATAGAAAACTTGTAAGTCTGTCTTCTACCTATAACTGACTTGTTGTTCTTGTTGTTGTTAAGTGCCGTCGAATCAGTTCCAACCCATAGCGACCCTGTACAGGGTTTCCAAGGGTGTAAATCTTTAAGGGAGTAGAAAGTCTCATCTTTCTCCCGCGAAGTGGCTGGTAGTTTCGAATCGCTGACCTTAAGGTTCGCAGCCCAATTCGTAACCACTACGCTACCAGAGTGACTGGAGTACCTAAAATGGGGCTACAACGTGCCCAGTGAAGGAGGCTTCCTATGGAGCCTCTGCAATACATAAGACCATAGGTGGAATCCTGAACAGCATCCAGAATCTTCAGAGGTGGGAAATTTCCACTTGAAAGGATAAGCAGACCAGCCTGGAGTGGCTAGAAGAACAGTAGATACTTCTTGAAAGAAAGACCAACAGGAAAAATACAAAACAATAGAGGTAGTCCAGACTGATTACTACAAGAACAAGCAAGTTCCTCGCCCAGGAGACATCAAGGCAAGTGGTCAGGTCTCCTCGGGGCAAACCCCCTTCCAAGAATTAAGATTCAATGGGAATACACACTCTGATTGCTGACCACGTTCATCACCAATAAGGGGAAGTGAGGGAAAAACAGCAATGAAGCTGTGATCTAAGCCCTACAATGTTCAGCAGCTTCTTGTGAACCTGGGTGGAGACCTGGTTGACCAGCAGTGTTGCAAGACCTGGGGACTCTTGGGCCCAGAGTCAGCGTCAAGCATCCAGCTGATAAGAAGAGAGGGCATATGAACAAAAACACTCACACTTGCAGATAATATCCACTTGACCTGGCTTCAATGACTGGATGATCAGAGCTGAACTAGAAGAAGAAAGAGGAAAAAAAAAAAAATGAATCTGATACAATTTGATGAACTTGACCAACACCTATGGATGCAGTAGCTCAAAAGAGGGAACAAATCTTTACAGCAAGGATCATTCCCACCCCCTCCATACAGAGAATAGACAGAGATGGGTAACTTGGACATTGGCTACCCAAAATGGGGTGGGGGCACGCCTACAAAGGCAAGAAGTGACTGGCTTACAAGCTTTCAAGATGGAATCTAGATGCAAAGGGCATGGAGGAAGGTAAAATCTCCACTGAGTAGTGTCCAATCTGTCTATGCGGGGCTGATGAAAGGAATTGTGGATAGGTCTCTTGTGATACAATAGTGAATAATTGTTATCAAGACTGCTTGTGAGGGTTGGAAGTGTAAAGGTAGACATTTTGTAGCAAGGAAGGGAGTGATTAACTTTGCATTCTAGGTGTCGAGCTCCCTGGGACCATCAAGGGCTAAGCACAGAGAGCGGGACCCTACTCAGAGAAGCAGTGACACCAGAAATAGAGACAGAGAGGATGACGTGGAGAGATGGAGTAGCTGAGGACTATAGACCCAGAGAGGGAGAGGGGCGTGTGCTGATGACTGGGGTGCAGACTTGCAGGGTATACCCTTTGGTTGGTTGATGATTCATGGAGGGTATTGTAACCATGGCAATGCAACAATATAGATAG